ATACACTCACAAGTTCATAATTTAGCTAGAGTAATTACCCAACTTAAATTGGAAGATGCTTAAAATTCACCCCGGGCCCACGTACCTGGATTCCGAATTTTTTCAAAGAAAAATATTACCCATAACCTCAGGAACTCAAATATATAATTTCTACCCAATTTCATAATAATTTTCGTGGTTAAATCCCATTTTCATCAAGACCTAGGTTTTCAACTAAACCCATAATTTCTACAATTTATATGTTAAGAATCAACCCAAAATACATGTATTGAACTCATTTTGTATAGAAATTACTTACCTCAAAGTGCTAGGTGAAACACACTCTTCAAAGAGATCCAAAATCGTCCAACAAGTGAAAGAAATGAACCAAAAAGGCCTAAGTCCCGATATTTTAAAAGACACTGCCCAGGCATCCCTTCTTCACGATCGCGGAGGAGTCTTCGCGATCGCGAAGTCAAACAACCCAGGCCCTAGAAAATTGACTATCGGGAATGCAACCAGAGCCTCGCGAATGCGAAGGTTTACCTGACCTACCCTAGACGAACGCGAGGGCTTCTTCGCGAACGTGAAGACCAACAACAGCCACCCAGCTCTAGCCTACTCTACACGAACGCGAAGGCCACAGGTCCCAGACCTTCATGAACGCAGACTGGTTGTCCCAAACGTGTAGCACAAATTTCATGTCCCCCATTTTCCTTCTTTGCGAACACGACCACACCTACGCGATCGCAGAGAAGGAAACCAGAACCAATAGTGACAACATTTTGGACTTAGCTACGAATGGTCCAGAACTCACTCGTGCCACCCCGGACCCCGTTCAAAAGCACCAACAAGTCTAAAAATATAATATGGGCCCACTCTAAAGCAAAATGACCGATCGGGTCTAGAATCGTACCTAGAATGTCGAATAGACGTGGATAACTTCTCTGCATGTCCTCCTCGGTCTCCCAAGTCGCCTCTTGATGATGTCCAAATCCATTGCTTAAAATTAAATGGACACGGTCGCATGCAATATAATTTACCCAACTATAAGTTGGGGTCGAATCCCACAGAGAACAATATGCATGCGATTAGGCGTGTAAGAGAACTATCACTTATTATGCTTAGCTAAACACTTAGAAATATTTTGAGAAAATATTTATAACTAATTGAAAAAATATAAACGAACCTACCAAGCAAGTAAAATGATCAATGTCTACAAGAATAGGTGCAATGAGAATTACATTCAAGTAACAATCCAATGTACTTCATAATTTTACAAATATGAGCGAGTTTATGTTAATTAGCCTCGGGTAACAATTCTATATTAGCTTCTTCCAAAAGACTAACAAGACTTCCTAATTGAAGTATCTCTAAAACAATTAAAAGATTAAGCACACATGAATATGGCTACAAGTAGTTGAATCCTATCCCTAGGTAGAATATATAAAGTGAGGGTTGACGCCTCAAGTTCTTGTTAATTAACTTTTTCCAACCCCAAATTATCTTTCCCAAAATCAATTCGAAGTTAATGGGTGAGTCCTAGGGTTAGATAATCCCTTTGGAAATATTAAAGAACAAGGATAATTAAAGAAACAATAACTCACTTCAATACNAATAAATAAAAATCGTTCAATACATAAGCACAACAAGATATTTAATCCACACTTTAAATATGAATATTTCTATAAATAAGATTCAAGTGTTGCAAAAATACTACACACTTAGATATACAATACAAAGCAAGGAAATGAAGAAACGAACATAAATGGGTAAGAAATTCTCAACCAAAAGCTTCAAATCTTCAAGACGCAAGTGTGTGTGCAAGAACCCTAGCTTCAAAACTTGTGTTCTCTTCTCAAGATATGTCAAAGATGTTCAGAGACTGGCCAAAGATATGCCGAACGATATGTTTCCAATAAGCTAGGTCGTGTATTAAATGGTTTGGGATAGTAAAAATGTGAAATGCCAAGTCTGTCCAGAGCTGGAGGCCGTTGGCCGCACCTGCGGAAGGATCATCGCAGATGCGGAATTATGCACGCAGATGCGATAATGAGTGGAAACTGGCTATTCCGCAGAAGCGGACCACGAGGCGCAGAAGCGCACACGTAGGAGCTGACCCTTTGCGCAGAAGCGCCTTCGCAGACGCGGATGACCAATTGCACATGCGATCGCAGTGAAAGATTGCCCAGTTTCGCAGATGCGGCCTTCTTTTCACAGATGCGAGGTCGCATAAGCGCACAGTGTTCCGCAGATGCAGAATCACTGAAGGAATTTGCACTTTTTTTAAATCTTTTTTGCTCAATTCCACTTCAATTGAATTCAACTCTCTTCATGGCATCATTTACCTAAACATCTAGGAATACACACCATAAACAATCTCAAATTATAATTAACGGATACAAAAATTAAAGAAAAGAGACCAAAATAAATAGTAAAATCACCACTCAAAAGACATCGCATTTGCGAAGGAGGTTTTGGCAGTTGGAGAATTTTGTTCTTTGCGATCGCGAAGGGTATGTCTAGGCAGACCATAAATACTCTATTTTCGAGGATTTTTTTTCATTTTAAAATATTTTTGAGTTGTAGAGCTCGGATTTAGGTAATTTTAGAGGGAATTTTCATGATTTGGATTGGGATAAGTATTTTTGACTCGGATTTATTTATATTTCATGATTTCGTCCTTAGTTTTAGCATTTAATTGGTAAATTGAAGATAAGAAATTGGGGATTTTAGGAAAAACTTTTTTAAATTGTAAATTGAGAATTTAAAGGTCGATTTGAGGTCGGAATTAGATGAAATTGGTATGGTTGAATTCGTAATCGAATGGGTGTTTCGAGTTTGTGAGTTTGTTCGGGTTCCGAGGTGCGAGCCCAAGGTTGACTTTTTGTGTTGACTTTTGATTTTGGTTAAAGATCTTAGCCTTATAATTTGGAATCAATTCCTATAACTTTTGTTGATTATATTAAGTTCATTTGGCTAGATTCGGATCATTCGGAGGTTGATTCACGCAGGAAGGGCTTGTTAGAGGAGTGATTTAGCTTGCTTGAGGTAAGTATCTTACCTAAACTTGGTTGAGGCACTAGTTACCTGAGTGGCGCATATGTGTGGGGCGGAGCTCATATGCGTGCATCGGGGTATTATTTCATGCTCGGGATAGTTCTTAGACTATGATATACCTTGATTTGATTTCTAAGATTTATATTGTGATGCTCCTCCTAATTGTACCCCTTCTATCAAGTATTTTGTACCACATTTGAGGTTACGTTGAGGTTATTCTCTTGATTGAACCTGATAAACTGCCACTTCTTGATGAAATTGTCTGATTGAGTTGTGATAGTACATATTGCACATGCCTCCACCATAGCATGTCGTTTATACTAGTCCAGGAGTATGAAACCTGAAATTCATTGATCATGTATATGCATTTTTGTATATCTGATTTTGTGTGATATGATCTAGACTGGTAGCCTATGACCACGTTGGGCGGATTGTGATTATTGGCACGTGAGTTGTCCAGAGTGGTTGGTATTATTGGCACGTGAGTTGTCCGTGCAGCGTGTGGATAAGAATTCATCCCCATAGAGTCACCCTCTCATGTTTATCTCTTGATGGTGTACATACGGATTGAGGAAAACTGATCAGTAGTTTGGTACTGTATTGGAAATTTGGAGGAAAATCTGCCCAGTATTGTTTGGTTATTGCATTTCATCTTTACTTGCAATTTCCATGATTATTTATCTGATTTACTTTCATATCATCTTTATATGATGTATCATTGACTAAGCGGAGTACTTAAATAATTGTGGGCACCAAGGTGATTTTATCCGTGATTTCATGATTTGATCATATTACTGTTTTGTACTTGTTTAATTTATGAACTGTACAAGTTATAGCAAGTATCATTTATAATTCTTCCTGCTTTTACCTCGCCGAGGTTAGTTATGGTACTTGTTGAGTACATGGGATCGGTTGTACTCATGCTACACTCTACACTTAATTGTACAGATTCAGGTGTCGGACCCAGTCACTGGAAGCAGAGTTTATTAGATGAGTTGATCATCGAGAGACGAGGTAGAGCTGCATTATCGACCGTAGTCTTGGTGTCTCTTTCCATATCGTATCGTTCTCTTTATTTCAGACAACATTGCTATTTAGCTTTTAGACTTGTCTTTTTCGTTTTAGAGCTCATGACTCTGTATTTACCAGTTCTGTGAAATTTATCACGTATTGGTATCATTATGCTATGTTAAGGTTTTAGACAGATGTTAGTTCTGTCATTTCTATTATTTTGGTTCATTATTGTTATGTCCGGCTTGCCTAGCAAGTGCGTTAGGAGCCATCACGACTAGTTGAGATTTTGGGTCGTGACAGATTCTAAAGTCATGTCTCTTCTTTTAAAAATATACGAGTTTGAACACACATTTAATTATAAAGATGTTATATCTAGATTGAAAACTAAATAATTAACACTTTTTTTTTTTTTTTTGCAACATCTGATGTGTATAGTTTTTTAATTAAAAACCAATAAATATATAATTCAAAAACTTTAATAAAAATATCATATGCAAGAAAAAATTGATTTATTGATGTTACATCAATTATTTCTTTGATGAACCACTAAAACTTAGTGGTGTTGAAGCAGACAATAATGGTTCTAAATCGTAATTAGTGGAGGAAGCTGGCAATGGCGGTTGATAATTTCAATATTTTATCACTTAATTCTTAAAGAGATTACTTTCTTCATCTCAATGTACACTAATTTTATCCCTCCTATTCACTTTAATTAATTTATAGCTTCTTTTTTTCTTAGTCCACAATATTTAATTTTTTAGATATAAAAGAAATTAACTTTTTTCTTCAAAATTGCACTTGCAGTAAAAAAATCTCGGAGTATTTGTTATATTTTCAATGAACATATTTAAAGAGATAGTAAAAGCTAATATGATCGATTTTATTGTTAATTAATATTAAAATGTGAATTCGTGTAAAAATAACTAAAAATCCATTAAAGTGGATCATTCACACTGCTAAAGTGGATCATTCACTACTAAATTTTAGTGATTAGTATTGGAAAGAGGCATGTCCTCTAAAATTTCAATGCTTTGGTAACAAAGGTTTAGCTCAAACGTTGATGAGAGAAACTACTATCATAGTACAACAGTAAATTTGGAAGATTAAGCACTGCTTTGTGCTGATTTGGCAGTTTTCTTGCTGAGAAGGTGCTGCACGTCAAGCCCATTAATTTTGGCAGCAAGTATGAAATCATTTTCTGTGAGTCCACCTGCAGCAATTATCAAAAATTAAACACTTAAGCTTTCCATGAAAAACAACTTGTCAACATTTTAAATAACATACCCAAACAGTTCAGTGCATATCAAACAGAAAATTTTCCAAAAATCTTGTTATTTCATAGACATTCGATCGCATCTAACGTAGGAGTACACTGGTCAAGGAATCACATAAAGCCTGTAACTGATATAAAGTAGCTAGTTCAACGCTAAGTCATCCATCCTCTTTGCAGGTGAGTTCTAATGAGTTCATCAAACAAAACAGAAAAGGTCTTCATGAATTGCATTAGTTTATACTTAGATCAGCAATAGACTTATCCTAGAAAATATAGCTAACAAACTAGGGACTGAATAGAAACTTGTGCTTCCAAATGCTGATGAAAAATAAATAGAGTGAAAATTGTTCAATTGACAATTCTTACCCACAGAATGCGTCCATATGTCAATTATCACATTATTCCACCCAACGAGATGAAGATCTGGATGATGACCTGCATAAATAACACAACTTCCTAACTTAAAATCACCATCCAACAATGATGAGAATAAAGTGTTTGTGAACATTTTCCAATAATAAAAAGTAGAAAAAAAACTGACTCAGGAAACGTTAATTAGAAGACCAAAAGAAACTACAAGTCAACTTGGAATGACAAGCCAGAGTCATTCATATAAGAGACTTTGAACTCCCAAAATCAAATCCGGACACATTGCGAAAGCCTCATTCCACAACTCATAATAAAGAGTGAAATCATTTTTTTTAACATCTTCCTCATGCAAACTTTCGTCTATCCCTTCAACAATATTTCCATATCCCCTTTTAGCTGATACACCAACAGTACTTTGATTTTTAGTAACATCTGCATGTTCTAAAGGAAGTTCAGTATGACTCAAAATTCCAGAATTTTATAGGGAAGGTAGCTTGCTGTCAAAAGCAAAAGGAAAAGAAATTAAATAAAGCAAGTAAAACAACACATTGTGCACAACAGAGAAAATGTAAAACAAGTCTAATGAAAGGTAAACTTACGGTACGAGATACATCAAATAGTAACAACTGGATAGTGCATATAAGAAAGGTTGACGAGAGTACATATACCTTCAGCTTCTGCAACATTTGCTACCTCTTGAAAGAACTCTAATCCTTTGCTGAAAGTCTTGACTTTCCAGGATCTATGCAGCTTTAGTGTGCCACCATCATTCAGCAAATCCCAACCTGTCACCTGCACAAACGAATATTAGCAAAATGTAAAGGACTATGTCGTGAAAACATGTTTAACTTCAAACCTGCCACATCAACTGGTTCGCAGCTTCTTCACTCATAGGCCTCAAATCCTTTGCGTTGCATGGCACACACTTCTTAGTTGACAAATCTGAAATACCCATTTAACAGGTAAACTAAAAGTCATTGCAGCTATCATTTCTTTTGAAAACAAACTCATCAAGCTAAGAAAACTCCTCCTACTCCCACCACCATCAATCGCCCCCACCCAAAAAAAGGAAAACTAAAATAAGCAATACTGCCACACATGATTTATGGAGTAATAGATCCCAGAATAGGGATGGCAATGGGGCAGGGAAGGGAATGGAAAACCCAGGGTAAGCCATGGGAACATTTAAGCAGGCGGAGCAGGGCAAAACATAATTCTTGAAAAGTTTTAATGGGGCAATGCAAGGGGCAGGTCAGCACAATAGGAAAAAAGGGCTCACACATTGACGTGGGCTCGTCGATGTTTCATTCAAACTTCATTGGGGTGAGTTCTCAAAACCTTTGTCGTCTTAACATCCCTTCAAGATTGTATTTTTCATTTCAGCAATACTGATGCTGATGTGTTAGAATACAAGCAGATGCTTTGCTACTATGTGAGCTTCATAAGAATCTATTTGCGATGAAAAAGAAATTGGTTTCCACTTTTCTGGGTCAATTGATTCTTTTTCCATTTTTTCAAAAGCTATAATTTTCCCTCTATCTGGCCAATGCTTAAATGAATCGTAGAAAGATAAACTTTCAGGAAGTTGGATTTGCATGGTGTTGTTTTGGAAACATCCGAGGGAAAGGGGTATTTCTGTGCCAAAAAACAGCCTAGATGCTTTGGTTTTTCAATACATGCTGTTGTCCATACACGTCCGAGTAAACACTGAAGTGGATCGCAGAGAGGTTATTTTCAAGATTTTTTTTTGATAATGATGGTGTCTCCGTGTGACCTATAGGTCACAGGTTAGAGCCGTGGAATCAGCAGCAATTGATGCTTGCATTAGGGTATACAGCCTATATTACACCCCATTGGGGTGCGACCCTTCCCGGACTCTGCGTAAACGCAGAATGTTTCGAACACCGGACTGCCCTTTGATAACAGTGGTGTCCGGACAAGCTTGTGCGCACCTCAACTAGTTCTATCGGGTACCTGCTACCTCCCACCTAAGTTGCTCGGACTCGGGTGCGGATCTAGAGGTCAAATCCTTCATGATCTAAATTTAATGATTCGGGGGTACAGATACGGATGCGGGGATTCGGCTAAAAATAATTCAATTATTTAAAAATAGAGTTATAAAAATATGTCTAAATTATGAGACATTATGTGAAAAACTTACAAGGTATTTCGATTTTCTTCCATATCACCCTATCTTTTGATTTGTTTTCAAAAATCATTGTATCTATCCCAAATTTCTTCGTTGATTTTGGTTAAAGTACCCAAAATCGGTTGACCAGATCCGACACGGATCCCACACCCATACCCACATCCACGTCGTGTCGACACGGGTGCGGCACTGAAAGTGAAGAGTCCGAGCAACTTAGCCTCCCACCAGCACATGTATCGGGTAAATCTTGAGAATCAATATTTTAATGACATTGATTTTAACATGGCACTGTTGCACAATATTTTAGTGAAAATGAGACAGGTATCTGTAATGTGAAGAAACTTTTGTGCCTTTTATTTTGGGCTTTTCAAGAGAGTTACTATGAAGTAGTCCATGTTCCCTGCTTTTTAAGTCACAAAATTCCAACATCACGAAAAGGAACATGGGCTATTCCACAAAGAGAGGAAGAAAGCCTACAGTCTCATTAATATCGTGTTGCAATTGAGATTAGAAAAGAACACAAAATCAGAAACTAATAAATTAGAAAATTAAAGAAATTAGAGATGATGCTAAAGGATAAAATGAAAGAAATATTTAATTTTGATAGGAAAAATTTAGAAAAATAAATAAATAAAAGAGACAAGTAGCTGGAAAGTGGGGCACAGCTTAAACAGGCCAGGGCAAGGCAGGGCAAAAGTTTTCCAGGGGAAGACTTAACCCACCAGCCCCAACTCACCGGCATCCTTACCCCAGAAATGCATTCTGTAGAAATAGCAGCACCAATGTTATAATCAAATATCAACGACAAGTCATTAGAACTGTTAATAACTATTAGCTCATCCAATGTAGTAGAGCAGCTTAAATTCTCGGACTTAACATAAGTAAGGTATATATTATCTGCTGACAGATCTGAAGTGTAATGCGATGAAATTAAGTAGAACACAGGACCTAATAACTAAAACTAATATCCTAACCACTCGAAAGTGCGTCTAGTGTACCATAATCTAAAAATACAGAAGCATGCGCTTTTCTAGGGTTTTTAAATACTGTTCGACAAAATGGACATTACTCTCTTTTCTTTAAAGCCTGTTTAAATTGCTTTGTCACTGTTTATTTATATAAGATTATCTTCATCCTTTGACTCAAAACTTGTTCCCTCTATTATTTTGATGGCCATGATTCGTGTGTTCGACCATTGCGTATAATGCATCATCAGAATGGACCCCACTGAACTTCATAGATTTAACAATCAGATATACAAGAAATTGCTGATGAGATCCAATGACGCACCTTCAGCTGAACACAGAGTCTTAATCCCGTTATGTGTGTTAGTATTTGCTGACACTGCAACCTGACTGCACACTACCCCAGCTCCAGCCACACGTATATTTGAGCTGTACATATTTATAAAATTATGCACACGGAATAATTATCTCTCGAATTAGGTGCACAGGTGTGAATTGGGGCGAGGGAGCAGGTATAGAACTTTAATGAGGGAAACAGAAACAACAACAATAACGACCCAGTAAACTCCCACAAGTGGGGTCTGCGGAGGGTAGTGCGTACGCAGACCTTACCTCTACTCCGAGGGGGTAGAGAGGTTGTTTCTGATAGACCCTCTGCTCAAGAAGACGAAAAGAGACAATATATCAGTATTATCAATAAAATCAATAAAAACCATAGAAATAATAACATCACAAGAACCAGTAAATAGATGGAAAGCAAAAACAATAACCAGTAAATAAGGCTCGTTACTATGAAAACGGAATAGGGTAAACACAACATTGACCACTAGCAGTCTAAGACAACATCCTATCAGACTAGCCTCACACTGGTACGAGTTAGAAATATGCTCAACTACCTCCTAACCTACAACCTTAATGCTCGACCTCCACAACTTCCTATCGAGGGCCATATCCTCGGAGATCTGAAGCCTCGCCATATCTCGCCTGATCACCTCTCCCCAATATTTCTTAGGCCGCCCTCTATCTCTCCTCGTACCCACCAACGCCAACCGCTCGCACCTCCTTACCGGGGCATCTGGGTTTCTCCTCTGTACGTGCCCGAACCATCTGGGCCTCGCTTCCAGCATCTTGTCATCCATGGGAACCACGCTCATCTTCTCCCAAATATCTTCTTTCCTAATCTAATCCATCCTAGTGTGCCCGCACATCCACCTCGACATCCTCATTTCTACTACTTTCATCTTCTGGATATGTGAATTCTTAACTGGCCAACACTCAGCCCCATACAACATGGCCGGTCTAACCACCGCTCTATAAAACTTACCTTTGAGTAGCGGTGGCACTTTCTTGTCACACAGGACTCCAGATGCTAACCTCCATTTCATCCACCTCACCCCTATACGGTGTATGACATCCTCGTCGATCTTCATATCCTCCTAGATTTAAGTTACTCCGACACGGCAGTTTAGGTGCCGCACCCGTGTCGACACAACACTAGTATGGATGTGGGTATGGGATCCGTACCGGATCTGGTCAAACAATTTTGAGTACTTTGACCGCGACAGACGGAAAAATTCGAGACGAGATACAATTTGATTCCCGAAATCATAACCAAAACTAGGGTAAATTTGAAGAAAATAGCATGCCTTATCTAGGAAATCAATCATTTACTTATCTATAACTTGAGAATAAAAAAGAAATCTACACTTTACAAGCTATACGTAAGTATTCCACAAAATTTCTCGTAATTTAGAGATATTTTTATATTTTTATTTTTTTTGTATTATTTTTAGCCGGATCTCCGCACATTTATCCGTACTAGGATCTGTATCCCCGAATCTTAGAATTTACATCTCGAAGGATCCGACCTCTACACCCGTACCCGTGTCCGAGCAAACCGAAGGTACTTGAAACTAATGAGAGAAACAGAAGTAGAGGAAAATACTAACATATCTAGAAAGAGGGAGTCATGACTTAAATTTAATTTCTAGGTTTTTTTTTTTTTTTTTTTTTGGGGNTTTTTTTTTGGGGGGGGGAGGGGGGAGCACCATGACTAATTTTCGAAGGTAAACAATTCACACTAGAACCACAGAAAATAGGAAAAATGGAAGATCTTCAAAGACATTTCACAGATTAGGGACAAAAGTAATGCAACATAATATAAGCATCATGATTAGCACGTATGACACGGGATTCAAGAGGTTGTGGGTTCGACTCCCACTATGGTCGAATTGCGGAAAGTAATTATTTTAAGCCTTATAGAAACCATAAGGATCAGTCTTCCCATAAATCGGGTAGTGTTGAGTTTGTCTCATGTCGGTTGTGGGATGGGATTTTGGTCTCCTTACATGATCTTGGACAATTCTCATCTCATAAGCTAGCTTTTGGGGTTGAGTTAGGCCCAAAGTCGATTACTTATTAGGTAGTTTGTTCCACGGGTGATGTTTCTAACCAATGTTGTCCCCTACTCTCCACTCCAAAACCTATAATGCAAACCTTCTTTTTACATGACATTACATGTTTCTCCTCCAATGGGATAAAAGTCACCATCAGACTTAAAATCAGGCGATTTGCTATTAGTTAGATAGTGATAAACACCGAATATCAATTAAAAATGTGGACTGGACTGAGCTAATAAATGCATTTCATGACTCATGAGGGATTACAAGACCCGACTGCCAAAATCACTTCGTTTTCCTTTTCAATTTTATTTTGACAAGATATTAAACCTACAAGAACAAACATATAGTACTAGTTAGTAAATCAGAACTTAATTTAACAGTGCCAATAAAGAAATAGTGAGACCATGATTAAATTAACCCATATTCTGTCAAAGTAATAGCCCATGATTAACACTTCATGCAAGTGTGATTTTGAACATGAATCTGGTTCAAGTTTCTGATTTTTTGATAAAGTTGCTGAGAGGAGAGGAGGAGATCTTTTTTCACGAATGAGGTTGCAGATCACGCGATTGATGCGTGATGCGGGTTTTATATCTTTTGTCAGGGGTATAATTGTCATATTATTACGGATTTTTTGTTAGCTGGCTACCAAATCAATAATTTTTAAAAATAGGGTACAGGTTAAAAGGTGGCACAAATATAGGGTACGACTGCAAATCCCCCCAACAAATTTAGTTAAAGGAGATAAGTTTGCAGAAAGGGCCAAAGCACCTGTTCTTATGGGGTATTCTAAGACTCAGAAAGGCTACATTCTACTTGATCCACTCACCAAACAATTTTTTCCAAGCAGAGATGTTGTATTTAGAGAATCTAAGTTCCCATTTGCTAAGATAAATGAGAACAATTCAATTACTCAGGAGTGTGGAGAAACACTGAGTCCATTACTGTTCTCTACTTTACATGCTAATGTCTTGCAGGAAACAAGCACTTCAAACTCAATGGAGGAAGAAGTGGTTATACAAAATAACGGGCAGAATGCATTACAGGAAGGTTTAGACTCAGATTCATTAACTCTGTAGGAAATGAATGCTGCAGAAGTTCCTGAGGATATGCAGAATTACATGTAGGAGGAGCCAACTGCAATTGAGGATCAGCAGGAAGGTGCAAATGATCAACAGGAAGGTGGATGTGCAACAAGTTCAAGACCTGACAGAAAATCTGCAAGGCAGATCAAAGAGCCAATATGGATGAAGGACTATGTGACAACCAAAAGAAACACAAGTTGTAACTATCCAATTTCAAACTACTTGGCCGATGATCAGACCAGTTCAAGTTATCAGTGTTACTTGGCAAACTTTTCTCAACTAACTGAACCAAGGACATTCAAGGAAGCTGTGAAGGACAGTAGGTGGATAGAAGCAATGAAACAAGAGGTCAAGGCATTAGAAGACAACAACACATGGAAGATAGTAGACTTACCAGAAGGAACGAATGTTGGTGGATCAAAATGGGTGTACAAGATTAAGTTCAAAGCAGATGGAGATATAGAGAGATTCAAAGCTAGATTGATTGCAAAAGGGTATAGTCAAAGAGAAGGCTTGGACTACCATAACACCTTTTCACTAGTGGCCAAAATGGTCACTGTGAGGACTATTATTTCATTGGTTGCTTCAAGAGGTTAGGGCTTGTACTAGATGGATGTTTATAATGCATTTTTGCAGGGAGATCTATATGAAGAAGTGTATATGGAGTTACCTGAAGGTTTCAGAAGGCAAGGAGAACATAAAGTGTGCAAACTATTGAAGTCTCTATACAGGCTCAAGCAGGCTTCACCGCAATGGAATATCAAACTAACTGAGGCCTTATTGAAGGCTGGTTTTGTACAAAGCCATCATAATTACTCACTATTCATACTAAGGAGTCAAGAAGGCATAGTGGTCATTCTTGTGTATGTAGATGACCTCCTTATCACAGGAAGTAGTACAAGCTTAATCAAGAAAGCCAAGAATATACTGCATCAGAACTTTAAAGTGAAGGATCTGGGAGAGTTAAAATACTTCCTGGGAATTAAAGTCCTAAGGTCTAAGAGTGGGGTGCTACTGAATCAAAGAAAGCAAGTGTCGGAGTTGATATCAGATATGGGATTGAGTGGAGCCAAACATGCATACACACCATTGGAAGTTAACTCAAAGCTAACTTCAATAGAGTATGATCAAGCAAATGGAATCACAGGAGATGTGCCTTTATAGGATGTTAACACTTATCAAAGGCTAGTGGGAAAACTTCTATATGTCACCATAACAAAGCCTGACATTAACTATGTTGTACAAGCTTTGAGCCAGTTTATGCAAGCACCTAAAAGGTCTCACTGGGATGCTGCCTTGAGAGTTGTGAGGTACTTGAAGAATGCTCCAGGGTAAGGTGTGCTACTGAAATTTGACTATGCAAAGGAACTTACATGTTGGTGTGACTCAGACTGAGCTGCATGCATTGACACTAGAAGGTCTGTCACTGATTATGTTATCAAGTTTGGCAACTCATTGATCTCTTGGAAATCGAAGACGCAACAGACTGTCTCAAGGAGCTCAGTCGAAGCAGAGTACAGAAGTACGGCTGCAAGCATTGCAGAATTAACATGGTTGCTCGGTTTGTTTAAGGAATTAGGTGAGGACATAGCACAACCAGTCACAGTTTTCAGTGATAGCAAGTCAGTCATTCAACTTGCAGCAAATCCTGTGCTTCATGAAAGAACAAAGCACATAGAGATAGACTGCCACTTCATTCGAGACAAAATCAAGAAAGGGATGGTCAAGAGAGTGCATGTTAATACTAGGGAGCACCAGGCAGACTTATTAACCAAAGCATTAGGGACTGCTCAACACATTCATCTACTTGGCAAGCTTGGAGTGTTCAATGTTCTGCACCCTTCAGCTTGAGGGGGCATATTATGATATGGCATGTGAGATGCACGTGATTAGTTAGTTGGCTAAGAAGTTAGTTAGGTTGTTATTTGTAAGTTAAGGGCAGTTTAGTCATTAGCTCTTTCTCTTCTTTCTTCTCTTGTATATATCGACTGTTATGTTGTAGTGGAGAGCAGATTTGCTCATTCTCAATAACAGATCATACTTCTAGAACCTTCCTCCATTAACGACCTCAAGCATTTCTCACATTTGACAGGACTGGACTGAGCTAGTAAGTGTATTTCATGACTCATGAGGGATTACAAGACCCGACTGCCAAAATCACTTCGTTTTCCTTTTCAATTTTATATTGACAAGATATTAAACCTACTAGAACAAACATATAGTACTAGTTAGTAAATTAGAACTTAATTTAACAGTGTCAATAAAGAAAGAGTGAGCCCATGATTTAAATTAATCTAAAGGTCCGTAACACAAATTTGCAAATTAACCCAAATGAACGTTTGAAGAAAAATGAAATAGAGTAAGTACCTTCCATGGTTTCTGGAGAAGCTTTGGGATAGTGATGCCAACGATACCTGAAGAAAGTGAAAACAATCTCACCTTAATAATAACGGGTGTTGGGGCAAAGGAGAGAGGGAGAGAGATTTACTGAAGCGTTGGAGAGAATTGCCAGACGAGCTTGAAGCGTCCGAATCATCGACACGTCTGCGGAAAAAAGGGGACGTTTGGGTTCTGGCAGATTAACCTCTATATGCGAATGCGCCGAGCCGAACTGGACATACTTACGTGTAGTGTTTATTTTGTTATTATATTCTTTTGGATAAACTTGAAAATCCATCCTTATTTTTTGAATACATATGTCTATTAAGATTAATATATTTGAGTCTGAATATTAAGATGTATTTTAATATTTGAATATTAAATGATTAAGACTGTTTATTTTTTAAACATCTGAATATATAAAATTTATCTTTATTTAGAAATTAATAAATATAAATTAAAATAAAATATTAATTAATTTGATATTTTGGATAGTAGCTCGTGGTGATTGGTAACGATAGTGATTGTGGTTGAGGATAGTGGTAGGTGGTGATAGTTAATAATGGTGGGTGATGATGATTGTATTAGTGGAAAAAAGACATGACACGTAGACTATCTGTCACGCCCCAAAAACTGGATGAGACGTGGCCTGCACCCAGTACCTACCACCTGGACCGAGCGAACGTAAATGACATAATCAATCACCCATATTGTGCCCACATGCCATAATTTATTTAGTTAATATCAAGATTAAATGAGGAAGTGAAATGGATATTGTATGAATAAACGGACGATCAACCATAAACCAAGATATGAAATAAAACGTCATTCGTAAGATCACATAAGTACCTATAGCCCAAAAATAATACAAGTCATCTATGGAGCCTTTATGACACTACAAATGAGATAATAAAGCTACGAGGCTAGCTCGCACTATACCAAAATATACAACTGAAATGGAGTAGTCCCACGAGTACCAATGTGGGCTCACCAAAAGAAGGAAGATGCAGGAACTCTATCTCGTACGCTGACCGCCCTGCACTCGACCATCTGCCAAACCTGACATCAATTAAATAAAGGATACCTGAGCATTGAAATACTCAGATATGCATCATAACCAACCACTCATGGTGGGGCAAGAGATACACAATAAAAATATTAAATGCATAAGTGAGATAAATCAATTTAAACAATAAAATTTATCAAAGATATCAAATGTAAGCATAAATCTTTCAAGGTATAATTAGAACCATTAACTTATATTAAGTAACTGGATGGTACATAGTCTTTCCACTATGTTTCAGAATCTCAGTTGGTATAGTACACAGTCCTTATGTATGTGTTTCATGTGTATAATAATAGAGTATATAGCCCTTCCGTCTCTGTTTTCAAGTATACGACAATAGACTACATAGGCCTTATGTCTATGTTTCAATGACCCAATCAAAGGATACATAGCCCTTCCGTCTATGTTTTAAGTATATAATAATCAATTAATTTATTGTCACTCATGACTCGGTAACCAAACTTTCGATCTTTAATTCAAGTGTGTCTATTCCTTAATTCAATAAAAATCGAGAAGGAGAATTCAATCTCATCATCCTAAAGTGAGCCATGAATTTATGTCGATAATAAAATAAAGAAAATATCTCAATATCGCAATGCACTAAAGACAAGTTATTCAGTCCATAAAAAAAAGAATACCAAACTTGTTAGTATTTCCAACTCTTAGAAATTTTATGCCAAGTTTTTCATTACTTAAGTCGCGGGGCAAGTCATGTAAGCTTGTCACACACGTACAGGTGAACCTTATGCATTTTATTCTATCAAGACATAAAGTCTTCCAAAAACAAATGCAATATAGCTTAAAGCTCGGCATACCCTAAGTTAGCCTCGAAACTTCTAACGTAAGCTCCACGTACTCAACGATGTCCCAAACGTGTTCAATCTATCACCATTCAACCATTTAACATCAATTCATGCTCACAAGAATCCAACATAATCCATTTAGTGGCCAAAGCTAGCTAGAAGCCACCCAAAATTTCATTCCTTCGTTTAATCGATAAGCCATGTCCAATAATTCATTTTATGGCGCTAATTAAGCTATTGAAATTGGTGGAATAATTATTCAACTCAAATTTCCCTTAAATTTCACTATTCATCTTCTTCCTTAATTTAGCCCTAGCTTGAACATTACACACTTTAAGACATTGCATAAATCTTCAATAAAAGTAGTAATTTTCACTTCACAATACCTTCAAGATACTCAATCCATGATTATATTCAGAGATGGGGTAAGAAAATTACCTCTTTCAAACAAAGCCCTAGCTTGAGTTCTTGTGGAAGTTCTTGATGGTCTTGTTAGAATCTAACTAATCCCAATATATTTTGGCATTAGTTTAAGTGTTAGCTAACTTAGATTAACACAAATAGTTGTAGGAATTTACCTTGAAATACTAGGTATGGAACTTGGTCGTGACCCTGTTGAAAGAACTCAAAGAGAGTTCTAAAATGTTTCTATTTAGAATGAGTAGTATTGGCTGGAAATAGCTCTTCATAGGACACATACTCCTCCCATCTTCCTTAATTTCATTTGACTTGGAGTATGAAAGAAAAGTTATTATAAGTGCAATACACTTATAAAGACCAAATTTGGCCCATTTTGTGTTTACTCCATGGGAGTTCTAAGGTGATTTTCAGCTTTACTCATAGCCTTCTTAATTTGTATTCAAAATATGTTGGCCAATTTGATTATATAATGACTAAGATAATTATTATAATATATTTATTTCATGTGATGATTAGAGTATTATTACATGTTGCCAACCACAATATTGACTTGTATATATTTTTGAGTTCCATCTCTCCTTTTCAATTTAATTCTCATACTCCGTCCATGTTACCCCGAAAAATGCATATAAGTATTAACATGACCAATAATTATTTTCTTAATTGTCGTTGATGCAAAATAGTGTTTCCTATATTTGTTAGCACATTCAAAGTATTAAACTAAATTCAAATTAGTATTTTTTTTTCCCGAAGCATTACACTATCATCGAGGTGACATGGCATGGTACGTGGATCATCAATATAGCGACAAGTGACGTTCTTAATTAGACGAGTTAAAAATTCCAAAAAGGCACGGGAGGAACACCCTCGGGGTTACTTTGAGAAAAGAGACGGACCTGGCAACTGTAAAAGAAGAAACATGAGCGAAATGAATAAAGACCGTTAAGAAAGGAAGATGTACGAACCTGTCATAACTAAGGAAGGGAAATCGATACGGTTACAGAAAATCCTTAGCCATAAATACTTACGTTACAATTGTATATGGTAATGGGTAATCGAGGCAATTAATGCCATCAATGAGCCCGAATTAAGTAAGGAACCCATTATAATTGTATGCCTATATAAGGACTGAAACCTCATTTGTAATGACATGAGACGATTATTGAAATTTATGCAATCATTCTTTACTTTATTCTTAAGGTTCTAAACCACAATTTTGTAGAGTGATTATCAATCTATTTCATATATTCTTTACCAATTATTTCCATTAATTGCTTTATTCTTCAAATTATTGGGAAAGTGAAGTAAATCTTGGTTATCAGTAACCCGATTTCTTCTTGATATTGACTTTGACCGAGAAATATATTTTTGGGTTAAATAAATTGGTTCTGTTACCGGAAATCTGATAATCAGTTCACTTTTCAAACTTTATTTTTAATGACCAAGTATGTCAACCGCTAATGGGAACAACCAGCTGAACCAACAAGGTGGAATTTCACCACACCACACACCTACGGGATCCCCTCAGCAATCCCATGAAAGTTCACCTGAAAGGTCTGCTTCGCGCGCTGATGATCAGCATGGAGATGACCAAACCGTGGAGCAGGATTCTCTAAAGCAATTGATTGCAGAACACGTTAACAATGTACTGCAGGCTTTTGTCAGAGGATTACCCAAAGCAGTGAAAACTCCTCCACCAGTTAATACAACAACTTTGGAGAACCCGCGCCCAGAGCTTGATAACTCTGGAAGTGGGGAAATTCTCAATGAATCTCGCGATGAAGGGTTAGGTACACCAAATAATTCTAGTTTACAAAGTTTAGTGCTAACTTTGCAGAAATAGCTGAAAGAGCAAAACGAGCATATAGAGCAAATACCTGGCATGCCTCCCATGATCAAAGGTGTGGATATTGACAAATATTCACAGCAACCTTGGAAGCCAAGTGTAGCACCTTTACCAATTCTAAAAAAGTTTAAAATGCCTGATATTCCCAAATATGATGGAGTAACTGACCCTCGGGATCACGTAACCGCGTTCACTACCGGCGCGAAAGGCAATGATTTAACAAAGCAGGAGATCGAATCAGTTTTGGTTAAAAAGATTGGCGAAACACTCACAAAAGGAGTGTTAACATGGTATTCTCTTTTACCTGAAAATTTCATTGATTCTTTTGCTGATTTATAAAAGCACATTTGAGGGCTCAAAAAGTTAAAAAAAAGGATGGAAGATATCTTCAAGGTTAAACAAGGGAGTACAAAATTGCTCAAGGAATTCGTAGATAGATTCCAGCGAGAGAGGATGATATTGCCTCGAGTACCTGATAACTGGACGGCTATGGCATTCGCGAGAAACTTGAACAAGAAAAGTTCAGAAGCCACGAGGAGGTTGAAATAAAGTTTGCGAGAATTTCCTGCAACAACTTGGAACGATGTGTACAATAGATATAGTACGAAGCTGCGAATAGACGAAGATACGGTTGCACAGCCAAGGACTGAAGAAAGACCAGGTTCGAGATGCTCAGAATCAGAAAGAAGGTCCGATGAAAATAGGTACGAGCCATACATGGGACCTGCGGGGCGAGACTCTTGATCTAAACAGGAGAATGCACGATTTGATTCAAGAGCAAGACAAAAAGACTCGAGTTCTTCATCCAGGTTAAAAAAAAGAACGGGATTCCCGAAGCAGTGATCCCAGTACACAAGCAATAATAGGGGATTATAGCTTTAACATTAGCACCTCCGATTTGGTAGCTGTTTTAAGAGGTATGTGAGATAAGGTACGGTGACCAAAAGAAATGAGATCAGATCCGAAGAAAAGAAACCCAGAATTTTGGTGCGAGTTTCATAATGGTCATGGCCATAGAATAGCAGATTGCAGGCTTTTGCAAGGAGAGGTCTAACATTTATTGAAACAAGGCTATCTTACTGATTTGTTCAGTGAAAAAAGGAGATAATCATACATGAAGAGCAGACAAGAACCCCCAAAACCTCCATCACCAAAGAGAATAGTCAACGTCATAACCATAGGTGATGAGGTTAATGGAGTAACATACATAGCCACGAAAAAGATTTCAAAAGTTACTGTAACTCATGGAAAGCGAGTCTGCCAAGTTTTGGAGGGCTACAGTATAATATTCGACGATGAAGACGCGGATGGGTTGATGATTCCTCATAATGATACACTGGTAACATCTCTAATTGTACATAATACTAATGTAAAACGAGTTTTGATTGATTCAGGTAGCTCGGTGAACATCATTTTGCTGAGGGTGGTAAATGAAATGCAAGCTAATGATAAGGTCATACCAAAAGCACGGTCCTTGTCTGGGTTTGATAATTCAAGCGTTATTGCGAAAGGGGAAGTTCTACTTACCACATTTGCAGAAGGGGTCATAAAGGATACAAAGTTCCTGGTGATAGACGCGGACATGGCCTATAATATAATTTTGGGAAGACCATGGATTCATGATATGGATGTCGTCCCATCGACATTGCATGAAGTTATCAAATTCCCTTCATAGTGGAGAATCTGATGAATCCGCGGAGATCAAGATTCACGAAGTATTAACTCGGTGGTGATTGCAAGCACAGTAGCCAATGATACAGATGCGAAATAGCAATTGCAGAATTCAATTGAGGACATTGTTTTTCAAACCTCAACTGAAAACACACAAGGGCAAACTAATGTCGACTCGAGACCCGATATGATTCAAGAGCTAGAGGAAAATGAGAACATTAAAACAGCCACCGAGGAGCTGGAAGCTGTAATACTATTTGTCCACTGGCCAGATAGAAAAGTTTACATCGGAGCAAATTTGAGCCTAGAGATAAAAGGTAAGTTAATTGAATTTTTACGTGCTAAACGCACATTGCTTTGCTTGGTCGCATTTAGATATGATAGGTATACCACTGGAGGTGATGACTCATAAGCTGAATGAGGATCCATTACACCCATCTATCAAGCAAACGAAAATGAAGCAAGGGTCTTTCAAAACTCAAGTGATCCAGGATAAGGTACAAAAGCTTTTGAAAATTGGTTCAATATGAGAGGTAAAGTACCGTGACTGGTTAGCTAATACCGTTGTGGTTCCAAAAATGAATTGGAAAATGGCGAGTTTGCATAGACTATACTGATTTAAATAAGGTTTGTCCTAAAGATTCATTTCCTTTACCGCATATAGATCAGTTAATTGATTCTACTGCAGGTCATGAGCTTTTAAGTTTTTTCAATGCATATTCAGGATATAACCAGATAAAAATGGACCCTCTAGATGAAGAAAAAACTTTGTTTATCACAGAGAAGGGGACTTACTGTTACAAAGTCATGCCATTTGGCTTGAAAAATGCCGGAGCCACATATCAAAGATTGGTGACTAAAATATTTCAAGAACACCTGGGAAAAACCATGGAAATCTACATAGATGATATGTTGGTCAAGTCAACACAGGCGGGGGATCATTTTCAACACTTGTCCGAGACCATTGAGATTCTCCGCAAGTACAATATGAAGTTAAACCCGGAAAAGTGAGCTTTTGGTGTGGCTTCAGGTAAGTTTTTAGGTTTTTCTGTTTCTACCAAAGGTATTGAAGTAAATCCCGCACATATCAAAGTTATTAAGAAAATACCAGATATATTCACAGGCAAGAAAGAAGTGCAGAGATTAACAGGCAGGATAGTAACTCTGGGAAGATTTATATCAAAGTCATCAGAAAAGAGCTTTAAATTTTTTCAGTGTTGAAAAAGCAAAATCAGTTTGAATGGACTGACGAGTTCCAACAAGCTCTGAAGGACCTAAAGTCGTATATATCGAATCTGCCTCTGTTAGCCAAACCAAAAGACAGAGAAATATTGCTCATTTATCTCGCTGTGTCAGAAGTAGCGGTAAGCGTGGTATTGGTACGTGAAGATAAAGGTAAACATTACCCAATTTATTATGTTAGTAAGTCTTTACTAGATGCTGAGACACGGTATCCACACCTAGAAAAGCTTACTTTAGCTTTAATTATGGCATCAAGAAAGTTATGACCTTACTTTCAGTGTCATCATATTTATGTTATAACTGCTTTCCCACTAAGTAACATACTACATAAACAGGAATTATCAGGTAGATTAACTAAATGGGCAATAGAACTCAGTGAGTATGATATCATATATCAGCCTAGAAATGTAACAAAATCGTAGGTGTTAGCAGATTTTGTAGTGAATTTTAGCACGAACTTAGTTCCTGAAGCATAAAAAGAACTACAAGTGTTTACCAGAGCTAATCCGGGGACTTGGACCCTATTTACTAACGGTTCCTCAAATATTAAAGGAGCAGGTTCGGATATTATTTTAATTCCACCATCGGGTGAAGCCATAAGACAGGCAATAAAATATTATCCAATCACTAACAATGAGGC